CTTGTGTCAAACATCAAGATGACTTGGATAATCGGTGTGCCGATCCCATCTTGATAAAGCTACTGGGGATGCTCCCTCTCACCTAATTCAGCTCTGACAGGGCCCTTCGATACTGAGTACCGAATCTTCTATTAAAACCTATCACCTGTTCGACGTACATAAGTCACCTCTGCGGAACTACTCGAGTAAACGTTTACTTATTTGTAAGTACCGCTCACTGATATGTGATGAGCACTAGATGTCAGCAAGGCGAATAGCACGTCCTGCCCATCGAATTTCACTTTCATGCGCAACTGCAGTGAAACCTGCACGCTGCTCACCTGACAGAAAATTTGACTGCTTATTTCGTCATGAAAGGGAATGCCAAGCATCACTCTCTCCATCACCATCACAACTCACACTTCTACTTCCATTACTGAATGTTTCAAATCGGCATGTCATTGCCTTCAGCACAATGGCATTGAGGAGATGGAAACGACCTTTTCCGGCCCGATGTCTTGAGAACAATGTCGATGCTGTGGAATTTGCGCCGGCCGACAGCCTTTCTACGCATTACTGGTGCACATTTGCTTTCTGGCCAAGACAGATGTAGCTGTCAACTCGTTCCATGCTAATACCACCTATTCGCAACTAGATATGCGGCATTTTCCATCATCTTCGCTTCCGATGCGTTGGTTTTCAAACTTACTTCATGCATTAAGCATCTCAACTTGCACCAAAGAATGCATGTCGCCAATTACTAAAAAGCTTATAACATTTCTTGAGAATGAAACTTAAAGCATTAGTGAACACTAACTTGTTTATGAAAACTTTCATCAAAAAGTGGTCAGCACCAAGAATCACGATTGCTAACGAGGCATAGAAAGCGGCTGACAGCACTTGAGGATAAGCTGAGGCTGGTTCGTTGCTACTGAATATAATATCGAATTCCTTTTTCGCGCTTTTACCTAAATCCGCCAGACATTTATGATGATACAATTCCGGCCGTAAAACTATGGGGAAGAGACATAAACTGCCTGACCAGCGATTTCAGTTGAACGGCTCATCAGCAAGAGTTTTAAAATGGCTGCACGATTTTGACCAACAAAGCAATAGCTCTAAAAGCTATATATGACCCTGCCAGCTGCTGAGACTAGCACTCGGATGAGCAGTGCAATGCGCAGAGTTTACCATAATTTAACCGAGCACTGCTGATAACTGCAATTTTAAGCAGCTAGCAGAGATTCGACGCAAGCTAGGTCAGCCTACGATTATATAGTAACAGAAAACCAAACAAACGTGGGCGAGCAGACGGGTCACATAGGCGATCGTCATCCAGAGCAAAAATGAATAAATTCAGTGAAGAAACGAGCGGTTCGCTGGCCGCGAGCAGAGTCGCCTTCCGCGTGAAAGTCACGTACGTCGTCGTTTCCAGCGCATGCGTCACTGAATGCAAAAACGGCACCTAAAAGGCGTGTAGCTGCACTCCATTTTCTCGATTCCTTTAAAAGCAGCCATCATAAGTATATAAAGACATTTAAGTGAGGACTTATTATGCGTTTTTTGCAGTGTGTGCGTCTGTCCCAATTTTTCGTCTCAAGACCTATAAAAGCCACAGGGCTGAAACTCAATCTACATGCACGTACGGGCTCCAATCCGCAAAATGGGCGCCATCACCTGCGTGGTACTTACGTCATTTCCTGCGTGGCACCCACGTAAGAGCCCTCCCAAAGTTTTTTAAGGGTAAGTTCACAAC